CGAAACAGACCAATCACGACCGACTTACGTCACTTGAGTCTTACAGCCAATAACATCACGGCAAAACCAACCGATCATTTCACACGAACTGGAATAAGAACATTCTACTGACAACAATCATTCACTTGACTCTGATGATGACTTCCGCACAGGTTGTCGAAACGTCAGTCACTGCCACCGACAACAGTCCTTCTCAGGACTACACTCACCCGGACGATCAGACTACACCTTCACATGTTACCCCCGGGTTCAAACCATTTACTGCAAGGTTTTATTAATATTCAAGGTTAAACTTTTTTATTTGTTACGGTGGCCAATTTACAATTTAACCTTAGTTGATATAACCAAATTACCTTGTTACCCCCACCGACGCAGCACCACAGTTTCTTTAGAAAATTTCAGCCTTTATTTCCCTGCGAGCAGAGCCTTTTCTTCTTTTCTTCTTCTTTTCTTCTTTTAAACCCTCCAAGGGAAAAGGCTCTGCCGTCATCCTGTTGTTGCTTTGAAATGCCGAAAGCCCAAAACTCCGGGCTACTCAAGCCGGTTTTTCCTCCAGTCAAACCGGTTTTGGTGCGCACGCCTTTGTTTTTCACGTACACAGATGACCAAATCTGCGCCCACAATAGTTCAAGGGGGCCTGGAAAAGGATCAGTTTCTAGGCAACCGCTGCGCATGTTCAAACGAGCAACAACAGGATTTCGGCAGAGCCTTTTTCCCTTGGAGGGTTTAAAAGAAGAAAAGAAGAAGAAAAGAAGAAAAGTCTCTGCTCGCAGGGAAATAAAGGCTGAAATTTTCTAAAGAAACTGTGGTGCTGCGTCGGTGGGGGTAACAAGGTAATTTGGTTATATCAACTAAGGTTAAAAAGGCTCTGCTCGCAGGGTAAGCCTTTATTCATTTGTTTTGATACAGCTACGATTCTCCTCAGGTAAAGTGTACTTGATGGTGAGATACAAGACAGTGGAAAATAACGTCTTAGTTTAGCACCACCAGAAGTCCCAAATTTTTTGCGCTTGAGGAAAGACCCCTTTTTGAAGATTGTCTCTATTTTATCTCTTTAGGTATTTGGTAGAGGTCCTACTGGTCCACTGAGACAAGGTTCGTTTGTACAGCGTTGATAAGTCAATCTGCGCGTAAGACTGATATAGTGTAACTCTCCATCGGTTGGCAAAATTTTTTGTCCATTTCAGCGCAGAAAGAAAACCAGCCAGGGAAAGTTTCAGATTATGCCTCCTTACTCTAAGCTGCAGTGACAACAACGAAACCTCGTCGAAGACCACTATAAGTAGGCTTCGTAACGCATCTTTCCCAAAGTTTAGAAAACAAAAACATTACAATGAGATTGTCTGCGTAGACAAACGTTAATATAGACTTTAGAATACATTAAAAAGGAATATTGATGTGTTAGGATGTCGAGAATCATTGTGACAAGTGTTTTGAAAGAAAAATTTTCATACGGCATAACCTGTGAATTAGATTCGAATCAGATGTAATCAACTGTACTGTAATAAATGTTACATTCTTCCCATTCACCCGACAGAATCCAAGGTGACCATGCATCTCAAAATAATTTACGGACTGGCTAGTTTATCCGCACTATGCATTGTGTCTTTTGTCAGTTACATCATATACAACAGGTCAGTATGGGATCATTGGTGAAATTCCAAATAAGGTTAACATTCCTTTACAATACAGCTGGTGATGATGGGTCTATTATGTGCCTTAAAATGTTATTGATGCTTCGTTTCCTTTCAGCTTCACCAAAATAATGATTTCTGCAGTGGCATAACGAAATTGAATTTTATGCCTTTTTTTGTCAGATGGAACCGCCTAAGAAATGCACAACTTACACTTACCAGCGTTGAGGTGAATGAAGGTAAGTTGCAAAATCATGTCATTTACTTATTCAAAATCAGTTTTATTGAATACATTTTGCTGACGTTGCGCTTGAAATATAAAGAGCGAAGTCTTTAAATGCAAAGGCCTTTGGTTTCATCTTTTTCGATATCAAGTTAATAAAAACGAAAACAAAATCAACTAAATTGAAAATAGAAAAACAAAACGAAAAACGTCGATGGGTAGTGTGAACCCACTGGTAAACGGCGCAGGAGTCTCCGAAAAAGTAACTATCCTTTTTTTATTTGATTCAAGCACATTGGCGAGATAAACATAAATTGCCTTTGCACGGACCATGGAACCGTCGAAGGAATACACACCTTGAGAAAATTTTAAAAACAAGAGATTCCAGAGTTGTGGTGAACGAGAGTAAGTTGCAATATCGCATAATTTACGTACTTTGTAGCAGTGTTACTATGTTCGAATTGCCAATGTTGCGCTCGGGACTAAAGTACCGACGTGTTTAAGTACAAAAGACCATTTGTTCAATCGGCTTTGATATCATAGACAAAGTTGAATTCAGAAAAACACACAAAAAATAATATTAACAGGAGAAACAAAAGACATTGGTAGGTAGTGTGAAACCGCTGTTGAACGGTAGGCAAAGTCTCCACATAGTTGTTGTCCTTTTTGTTTAATTCTTCATTTTTTTTTTGTAATTTTACCTGATCGTATTAGCCAGAATAAACTTAAGCTGCATTTGCTTGGGCCACATATTAAGTAGTCTCCCTAGCAGCCGCTTTTTTTGGATGTCACGCAACGCTCCCCCAAAAGAGCGGCTGCTGACAACCGAACTACATTCCTTTCTCAATGTCCTTGCGGTTTGGTCGCGGTCTATTGAACAGACCAATCACATACCAGAAAATCTGAATGGCGTAAGGTTTCACGCGAAAATGTGGATGTGGCAGATGATCTAGCCATCATGTCGGGAGAAACACTGAAGAAATTTGTCGATGAGAGCTCGAAATGTTTCACATGTTCATCGTTGTGCCCTGGTAAAGATAGAGTATATATTTTTTGGGAAAACTTCTCACAATTTGGTTGAAATTATAGAATCTACGCTTAACATAGACGTCAACTGCTACGCCAACGACACGAACGCTAGATTGTTT